GAATGGATTTACAATAATACGGTTTCGTGTTGAAACATATAAACTTGATTTTTTAGTATGTTTCTTCATTCAAGCTACATCTATAAAGCTTATCTTTCTGTCCATACTTTCTTAAATAAAGAAATAGTGTTTCGGTGTTATTTAACCTTTTTTGACACAAGATTAATCACTTAAATTGTCATTGTGTCACCATTTTTAAATGTATCAGGTTCAATTTTGCTGTACAACTTTATAATGTTCAATATGATTAAAATAATATGCAAAAAAGTGGAAAATTATATATTATTGGTATTTATTTTTTTACATATTAGGGTAACTGAAGCACTTTTGAATTTTGACCCCGAAGAAGATGAAAATAGCACAAATAATAATGGGACAAAAAAAAGAAGCACACCGACCCCCCAATTTTGTGGTTGTTTTAGAAAGAGAAACACATTTTCTTTTGATTCATTGAATACCAAAAAAAGTTTAATACAGGATTTTTTTATATCAAGCGTTTAATCTGCAAAAAATGGTGAAAAAATGTGCATTTTTCATTAAAAAATAAGGGGTAGGGGTAACTAAAATCGCATTTCTGAGTAAAATGAATAAGATTAAGAAATGTTATTTCTATAATTTAAAAGAAAATAATATTTTTATCAATTCTACAAACATTCATACAAATCTGATAACACACTTGGAAGAAATTGTATGATTTTGTTCTGCAAATTGTCAAAACCCGAAAATTCACCTAAAATCACCTATAGTGTTAAATTGGTATCTTTGACCGATCATAGCACAAAAACGAACACACCGACATATATATTTTTTTGCGTTTTCTACTATTCCATTATCTCCTTTTTCCAAAAATCATTATAAGAAAAAAAGTTTAATACAGGATTTTTTTGACTTCTCTGAGGTGTACAACCTTAATCGACACATGTAAAATTACAAAACAGTCTCGGCAACACAGGTAAGCATAACCACTTTGTACCTGGACCGTAGTTTTTCCCCGCCCGGGGCACTTACGTAACTCGCCAAGGTGTGAAAACCAGGTGAAGGGGACCGGTGTTATAGACCAAAACAAATGCAAATAACAAATATTAAACGTCCAATTGTGTTTTCATAACGGCCATACGGTATCACATATCAGCTCTATGTGTCAGGCAAAGGCCAGGTAAAACTCCGGTCACTCATCAAATTGTTATTTACCTGTTCTCTTACCAAGGAGCCAAACTCATTCTTGACAGTCATCACTGTATACTGTGTTACAAGCATTGTAAAACGTACATAATCTAAATCTTAGTGATGAGATAATTACAATAATAGATACAGTGTACATTATTGCATACGAGCCTTCCGTATGTTTTTCATTCCGTAATATTGATAACAAATTGTACCAAATCGCACAGTTATGCGGAGAGAAGTGCACAACGAGACGAACAATTGTTAAATCGCACAGTTGTGCGCACCATGTGTGGACGATGTGAGGACGGTGTGCGAACGGTATTTTTGGTGCGGTCACACAACTGTATGTAATTTACCTGTACCTATTATGTTATTTACCTGTACCTATTATGTTATTTACCTGAACCTATTATGCAATATACCTGTACCTATTATGTTATTTACCTGTACCTATTATGTTATTTACCTGTACCTATTATATAATTTACCTGTACCTATTATGTAATTTACCTGTTCCTATTATGTAATGTACCTCTACCCATTATGTCATTTACCTGTACATATTGTGTAATTTACCTGTACATATTATTCAATTTACCTGTACATATTATGTAATTTACCTGTATCTATTATGTAATTTACCTGTACCTATTATGTTATTTACCTGAACCTATTATGCAATATACCTGTACCTATTATGTTATTTACCTGTACCTATTATGTTATTTACCTGTACCTATTATATAATTTACCTGTACCTATTATGTAATTTACCTGTTCCTATTATGTAATGTACCTCTACCCATTATGTCATTTACCTGTACATATTGTGTAATTTACCTGTACATATTATTCAATTTACCTGTACATATTATGTAATTTACCTGTATCTATTATGTAATTTACCTGTACCTATTATGTTATTTACCTGAACCTATTATGCAATATACCTGTACCTATTATGTTATTTACCTGTACCTATTATGTTATTTACCTGTACCTATTATATAATTTACCTGTACCTATTATGTAATTTACCTGTTCCTATTATGTAATGTACCTCTACCCATTATGTCATTTACCTGTACATATTGTGTAATTTACCTGTACATATTATTCAATTTACCTGTACATATTATGTAATTTACCTGTATCTATTATGTAATTTACCTGTACCTATTATGTAATTTACCTGTACCTATTATGTTATTTACCTGTTCCTATTATGTAATGTACCTGTACCTATAATGTAATTTACCTGTACCTATTATGTAATTAACCTGTACATATTATGTAATTTACCGGTACATATTATGTAATTTACCTGTACCTATGACGCTTACAGGACTCCGTATCTATAGCACTGTCAAATATCTAGTTGGTACGAGAACAGTTGCATTCAAGTACACAAAATATACAATCCGGTGGGAGATCAATGAAGTACAATTTTAATGTACTTTGTTTTTGTATAGAAACTTTATATTTGTACCATATCATGAGTGTCTACGTCACACTGCTCCATGACTTACATTGATTGTATTTCGTGTATTGCCTCCGAGTGCTTGTTTGATGTTCATAAAGACAGTGCGTCAGTTTTGAGCTAATCTCTCAAGTGTCCAGTCCAAGTCTTTTCACTATTTCCCCGTGACTATAAATTTGCTATATTGATATATTAAAGAATATTTTTGTTTGTTATTTGTTTGTGAATGATTCACATTTGATACATAAGATCAGTGTTTCACATTTGATACATAAGTTCAGTGATTCACATTTGATACATCAGTTCAGTGATTCACATTTGATACATCAGTAGTGATTCACATTTGATACATAAGAGCAGTGATTTACATTTCATACATAAGTTCAGCGACTCACATTTAATACATAAGATCAGTGATTCACATTTCATACATCAGTTTAGTGATTCACATTTCATACATAAGTACAGTGATTCACATTTCATACATAAGATCAGTGATTCACATTTCATACATAAGTTCAGTGATTCACATTTAATACATAAGTTCAGTGATTCACATTTAATACATAAGATCAGTGACTCACATTTAATTCATAAGATCAGTGGCTCACATTTCATACGTAAGATTAGTGATTCACATTTTATACATAAGATCAGTGATTCACATTTAATATATAAGATCAGTGACTCACATTTAATACATAAGATCAGTGGCTCATATTTCATACGTAAGATCAGTGATTCACATTTTATACATAAGATCAGTGACTCGCATCTAATCAAACGAGATACATTAGATTAACTGCTCATACTTAATACAAAAAGTTAATGACACATTTAATACATAGATTCAATAATTCATATTTAATACATATGTATGTTTACATAAATTGACATTGTAATAGATATGATCAATAACTCACATTTAATACTCATGTATATTTATTTAAATTGATATTGTAATAAATATGATCAATAACTCACATTTAATACATATGTTTATTTACTTAAATTTACATTGTAATAGATATGATCAATAACTCATATTTAATACATATGTATATTTACTTAAATTTACATTGTAATAAATATGATCAAGGACTCACATTTAATACATATGTATATTTACTTAAATTTATATTGTAATAGGTTTGATCAATAATTCAAAGAGATATGGCGGGTTGCTATGCCTATTTCCCCAAAGCTATGTTACGCTAGTGCGCGCACCAACCGTGCACTGTTATGACGCGTCCTCAGGTATTTTTATACAGGTAGCAATATCGGAATCCCGTGCCTAAGAATTGATTATTGTAAACAGACCACATATTTGGTATTTCGGCATTAATATAAACTTTATTTCATTCCAAATTAAGTTGCATTACATCACATAACATACAAAGTACAGAGGAATGGGATCCGGAAACAAGTTGAAATAACTTATATAAATCCGTTTCCGACATTATTTTCGGCATTATTTGTTGGTGTTTAAGCACTTGATATAATTACTATTGCCAGTTGGAGGGTAAAACAATTCATAAATTTCATCAAAAATAGTGTCTTACCTACAAAGCGTAGCTGTACTGTACACGTGTACAGGGATTTGTTGACATGCTTCGATAGAAGTATGTCGCACTAAATAGTAAAGAAATTATTACTAACAAAACTGATAAATCAATAGGTATGTTATTAAAATGAAAACAAAAT